TATTGGATAATTGTAACGGCTTTTTTTTCAAAGGCACATTCCTTCGCTCTGTAATCGCAAACTTTGTGCTAACTTCACTGCTCAAAAGGGAAAGATAAGAGTGCTGAGGGTTTATTTCGCTACCATATGATCGCTCAATGAACCTACATGACAACTGACATTCGCTACATGACAAATAAGGAAGCGGTTGCCTGCGATAAGGTGACAGGAATTCCAATAGCGGAAGTGATACCAACAAGACGAATACGTGATATGGCGGAGTTTGACGTAGCACCATCGAAGAAGTCACGCAAGAAGTTCATATGCATCGTTCTCGTATATCTTTCTGTTTTAGGCTTAATATAACGGTTTTTGACGTTTCCTCAGTTCACTTCAATACTCTTCTTCTCACTCTCCTTTTTTTCTTCTTCTTCTTCTTCTTCTTCTTAACTCTGTCCGGCCGGACCGCTGAGAGTTCAAAGCCCCTTCAAGCGCCGCTTTGTACATCTTGTCAGCCTGCTCACAACAAGGATACATAACAATGGCGAGAGCGCCGAATCCTGATGAACGCCAGCTTTTATTGAAAAACTTTTGGATGGGCGCTGCACATCTAACTCGACTGGTTGTCTGTCAGGTAATTGTCTGTTGAGGTAATTAGAGCATTCGGGGAGTTTCTTTTATTTCTAAAGATTGGAGCAGTGGTGCTGGTAGCCCGTTCCTGGGTTGGCAATAATGTAGGACTGAGGCCATTGAACTCCACTGCTGCAGCATCTCTTTCAATTAACGTAGTAATTCGCCAGATAAGTCGTTCAGTTCATCGGCGTTTTTGGTTCTTTCATGTGCGACTTAAATACCTGTCCTAGCCAAATAATCCGTTTTGGGATGCGAGCATGTATTCCACACTTACTCGCAATCGCAGTGACTTACTGAGTGCAACATGGTTTATTCAGGAGACCGTGAAAACAATCATAACTTGCCGCGTGGTCGCGCGCGGCCGACGGCGGCCGCGGCAGATGGTGAGTTGGAGTAGATAAGGTGTGTAGGAGACGAGAACCTGACATCTCTAGCTTAGGATGCTGCTCAAGTACTCCACTAACGAAAAAGCGTTGGCACTGGGACATCGTATATGTGGCCTCGAAATATCCAGCTGCCGCATGCGTCAGGTGAAACCTCTAGCTACGCGGCAAATTGCACAGCCCATATCTCTGCGTTGATGGGAAGTATCCACGAACTTAGTCGTGCCGACGCGTGGGCTAGACAGACGCTAGATAAGACGTGCACCGACATTTCCCTGTGCCGTTTCTGCTCTCTTACTCTCCCTGAGCAGGAAACTGTTTGCTGCTGCTGTATATCCAGACAAATGTCGCGTGGGCAGCACCCTGCGATTCGGAGTGGACTTTACTCGGTATCCCCTTGCTGATTTTGAACTGGCTCGGCTTCTTACCGTTATGTTGAAAACATTTCAGGCAGTTCGCGCCAGAGGACTCGACATCCGAGAAGCAAAGAGCGTGATTCATTCGTCCACTTAGATCAGTGATCCCTGGAAAGTGCAAAAGTTGTGAAGTTGTTTTTCCTCGTACCGCTGAAGAATCTGTTTTACCTTGTCCACAAGTGAAGGAATATTCATTGAATTTCGTACTAAAGCCCATCGGAAAACATATCGCTGCCTCAACCTCCAAGATAATGAGCGACGCACTTCTCGATCTCGGCTTGAACCACGTGGTTTCCTGAAGAAACTGATTCCCAAAAAATTACCATGGTATAGGTGTAGTCCGCGGAAGTAAACATAAGTAGTTCGTAAAAAATGCCTCGTTCATGCCTCGTGCTACCAATATGAAGGCCATATTTGTCAATATATCGAGCGGCTTCTTCAGCGCAAGGGCCATCATTGTGAGAAAATCCTAGATAGTTGTAAGAACCCATGTTGATCACTTCTGATATCGTTCCAGTATACCTGAAAAAAAAAATAGACAATAGCTTCTGGTTTATCTGACAGTTGAAGAAAATAGAATCTGGGTCAGAGGAAGCCTTGCAAAGCCAGAATTCTGGTGCCCTAAAGAGCTGTGGTTATAATCACGGTGGGTTTTCTGCATCGCGTACTCATTCGATCCGCAGGCGAGAGGGGAGGAGAGGGCAAGGGTGTGCCTTTGGCCTTCGAAAGGAGTTACCCGCCATACGTTTTCGGCTTTTCCCTTCTTATGTGCGTCAAAATACCTTAGGTTCTGGACGTTGTTCAAACAGCCCTGCACTGACGAACAGCGGTTGCGCGAAAAAAGCAAAAAATAGTCATCGATCAGGAGAATCGCCTAAGCCGCTAGTTTCGCCGCAAACGCCGCGGTTCTGCGTTAGTGGCTGTAGAAGCAGATGTAGCATGTGTTATTTTCGCTGGCGAAAAACGCCGGCGATCGAGCTAGCGTTTCGTCGAAGGCGAAAAACGTCGCGGTTTGGCGAAACGCCGTCGATTCGTATCAAAACCCTTTCGCCCAACCGCCAGACTCTTCGCCTAACCGCCAGTCGAATATATGCGAAAGCTGTTTGCTGAATCGCGGCCGCGTTTCCAGAGAAACGCTGAGCGCACCCGCCCCAAACCGCCAGTCGATACGTATCGAAAACTTTTCGCCGCCGCCGCGTTTAGAGAAACGCTGGAACGCGCAACCGCCCAGTCGGTAGCGTATCGAAACTTTTCGGCGAACCGCCGCGTTCCAGGAGAAAGCGCTGGACGCCAACCGCCAAGTCGGTAGGTATCGAAAACTTTTCGCCGAACGCCGCGTTTCCAGAGGAATCGCTGACGCCCCCCGCCCAGTCGAATACGTATGCGAAAATTTTTCGCCGAACCGCCGCGTTCAGAAATACGCTGGACGCCACCGCCAGTCGATACAGTATCGAATAACTTCGCCCGAACCGCCGCGTTCCAAGGAACGCTGGACGCGACCAACCGCCAGTCGGATACGTATGCGAAAACTTTTCGCCGAACCTGGCCGCGTTCCAGAGAACGCTGGACGCCCAAGCCTGCAGTCGATATATCGAAAGGCTTTTCGCTGAACGCCGCGTTCGCAGAAGAAACGCTGGACGCATCAATCCGCAGTCGATATACGTATACGAAAACTTTTCGCCGCACCGCGCGTATCCTAGAGAAACGCTGGACGCCAACCGCAGTTCGGTACGTATCGAAAACGTTGTTTCGCGCGAACCGCCGCGTTCCAGAGAAAATAGCTGGGACCGCAAACTGTTAACAAGCCTTAGCGGCGCGGCGTACCGATCTGATAGTAGAATTTACGGTGTTCTACCCAACTGCTTACTTTATCCTTCACTGACAACGGAAAATTATGAGAATGTTCGCTAAGGGGGTAGGTAAGAAGGTTGTAAGAGGTGGTCGTACCAAAACCCTTTTTTTCAGTCTGACATAGAGTACTGACATTTGGCACACTGAATTCACCATGTAAGGCCCCCTTTTTTGAGAATCTCGCGGAAACAACCATGCAGAATCATATTTGCCTGCATTAGTTGTCGTGTGATCAAGGAACTTAACCTTTCTGAATATTACAATTGCCCTATCCAAGACGTTGAAGGCAAAGCCGCGATCACTCGCTATCACAGATAGTGGATTAGGGGTTTGCATATAGACGACAAGGTGCTGAGTAAGTCGATAGTGAGGAAAAAGCAGAAAAAACATGCCAACTGCCCTAGATAGAACCCCATTTCGGTCCTATAGTTCGTGCGTGCCCAGTGCATCCCATCTCCAACACTACGCCCTCATCCGCACAGCTGATTCCCCGATAGAACACTACGACCGTACAAGTGACGATTTTCATGCTTTTTCGTCCTGCAGCTTCGTTTTTCACTGAAAGGCAGGCCTTGAAGGCGGAGTCTGGAGGCGGAGTCACTGGAAAAAAGGAGGCGTCACTGAACCTATATTGCGCTATAGCGCCTCCCTTACAATTTTTTGCCGCGAAACCGGTACAAGGTTGTTCGTCGCGGACCACACTACCCTCCCGACGCCATATTTTCAACTTCTATACCTGATCGCGGACCGTGCCTTTAAAGACAAATTGTACACTAACTAGATTCTTCGTTCCCTATGAGAGGAAAATGGGTCCTTAGATAAAGTAATGTGCCCGGAATTACACAAATACGGGGCTGGAGGGTAGTGGTACCGACTGCCGTCTCCATATTCTGCCCGCGCTATCCTCAATCTGCAGCTCTTGTGTCGATACCAAGGTCCCTGCAGCGAAACAGGAGAACGCGCAGACAAATAGCACTTTTAGCTATTGTTAGGCGTGTGGCTGGGTGCGCTGCAAGGATGGAGCGTAGAGATGGCACATGAGTATCACTACCCTCCAGCCCCGTTCTCTTGCACCGAAATGAGGCTGGCAGCACGCTGCTGCAGCTGCAGACCCATTCTCCTCACACACGGCAAGAATCAGAAGAATTCACGTAGGTGAGGGCACCGTTTGTCTTTAACGTCTTGGAGCTGAAGAATTAGAGATCATAAACTCTCTTTAGTACTTGGCAAATGATCACGAGGCATTCTACTTCTTCGTTTTCTACTGAACAAAGTTTTCTACCGTATTCAAAATATCTTCTGGCGCGACTCCTTTGGTTTGTTCGACGCGGCGCCAAACCCATCCCGCCTAACATACCCCTTCACCCGCAGCGAAAAAAGCTGTAGTTGCTACTAGGATAGGCTCACTCTGCAGACAGCGTTAGATCTTTCTCACATTCAAATGGGAAGCGAAGCCTATTCGAGACATCGAATATAAGTTCTACTTTTGGATAAGGAATGTCAAAAGACTAAAGTGAGGCAATCAGGAGATGGTATCAACAACACCAAAAGAGTGAGAGCGGTACTGCAGACCAGACTTTTTAGGACTTTAGGACTTCAGGACTTGTAAAGTGGGAAACTATTGGGCACTGTGCCACAAGATATCGAGACGTTAAGATTTCCACACACACTCCTCGCGCGCGCGCAACGCACAGGGAAAGGGATTTAAACCCAAAAAGGTTTTGAACGTCCCAGAAACTCACTTTTGGGTCCACCCGTAGTCATCAGTGTACCTATCCTTTAATAACATTACGCTAGCTGGCACACTAGCAATCGGCCGATTGACCACATCACTCGATTTCCGATAGATATGATTGATATAAACTGCTTCAAAGTGATCATCCAGTGGTGCGAATCCCTGAACGACTACCGTACGATCAAAAACTGCTTTGCAATTTACAACGAAAATGCAATCACGTTAGTTTTCAAAAAAATAACATGTTGAAATAAAACTTATTATTCTATGATGTTATGTTTGAAAAAAAATATATATTCGAAAATTATCCTATAAACTCATTATTCCTTCTTTCCCTTACTGACGTGCACAAAGGAAGGATATATAACTCGTTTGATTTCCGTCTAACGGCACGTGCGGAACGCAAACCAAACTACCACCTCATATTGACCCCATGTAATAATAGCCAAATATGTAGATAACTAAGAGTTTATATCAAGTACATCAGAACGCTACAATAACTTCACTATACTATATTACACTGTTTGAAGTGAAAAACAAAATGTCCGCGATGTTGCCAAGGCGCAAATTAACGTGTCAAATGTTAATTAATGCTGCCAATTTAAAGACAGCTCCGCGATAAAAGTCTCATGGATAGCTGCTTTCCAATTATGAAACAGTAGCTGATAAGTAATCTCCCAAAGAAGAAAACAGGCAAGAAGCGTCCTCCAGAACAACATAAACAAAATCGCTCCCTCACAGTCACACCTCCCTGCGGTCTCTGTGCAACCCCTAGCTCACAAATCTCTCTCTCTCTCACATCTCGCAGTAGTTGATATCATCCAGTGCAAAAAAAAAAGAATACAAAAGAAAACAACAAAAACGCAGAGGAAAAACTCTTGGAAGGAAAAAGGGTAGCGCACGTTTTTGTGCGTCGAGGTTTTGCATCACGAAAATTGCGTCACTCGTGCTTTTTACGCGTTTCACCTCGCGAAATGAGTTGAATTGAATGTATATACCTCCAATGAGTAAACTGTAATAAAGGGGAGCAGAATTATCCATGGGCATTAGCAATGCCCGCCGCCCCAACTAAGAAAAGATTAGTGGTTCCGTCTCCGCAGGACATCTAGCAAGTAAGGCGGTCCAACTGGGCGGGCGTTAGAACTAGAACTTACAGCGGCGGGAGCTCGCTTCTCGCTCGCTGTGCAGACGAATAGAGTGGGACAGTCTCTAGCTTGGGGGCTGTACTACTTGCACAAGGAAGGACGACCATGTACTACTCGAGCGCGGGGGCTGTCTTTTAATGTCTGCCCCTCCACCTCCCAACAATGAGCAAGTACGACCCCCCGCTTCTGCAAAAGTCGCTGAAGCGAGGAGAAATCAACTATCAAAATAAATTTTCCTCAGCCCAAATACGACCCCCCCCCCTCTCCTGGCGACCAAATACGACCCAACGACGATGTGCCCTGATGTGTCCTGGATGAGTCTCCCTTGCTTCTCCAAGCTGAGTATCTTATCCGTAATAATTCACTTTGCGAAGGAGATGCAGAGAAGAAAAACGACTAGTTTTCTCAAGACTTTAGTACTGGAGCGTCGCAGCGTATCAGCTGGGTTTAAACGCTGCCTAAAAGAAGTCACTCTTTGACTACCTCATTACCGCCATTTCTTTCCCTGATGCTCACAACTCGCAAGAATGACGCCCGTCAAAAGTAGGGTCTACGAAGACAATTCTAACGAAAACGATGGTAAATTCACCTTATGCCGTGGATCGTCCTTCGCCACGGACACCTTGATGATACCTCGCATTCGAAGCCAATCGGCAAAAATACCAGCTAGAAGCATCACTGCACACGAGAATTTAACCATCATCGAAATATACCAAGGTGGATCCGCTATTATAGAATCTTCTATGCTCCATGCTCCTCGCTTCCATGACAATCTGAAATTGTGCACTATCAGATGGTCTCGACTATTTCACGGAAAACTTCAAACTATAGCTAGAAAAACCTACGTTTCAATCCACAACTGGTGGCAGAACTATTAGACTCGCTTAGTTTACTTAGAGACGATTCAGAGCTGCTAGGCTCTTGCAGTCTACAGTGATCTACATCCAGTACTTCAACTAGAGCTCCATTACTAATCAAGCTTTCAGCACATAGAGTAGACATGGCTCCTCAGTTGAGGACTCTGAAAACACTTTTGCTTCAAACTCATTGCCAGACAGGACATCGACAAGCATTGACGTCTTAGGAACGATTACATTAGAAAAACAAGAATTCTTGGGCGAAAAAATATCTAGAGCGTGAATAGAGAGGGCAAATGCATTGCTGCGACAGGGCGGAAATATAAGAAGTTTCTTTCATAACGATTTGGCAACACAAAAACGTTGTAGCTTCAATCTACAGTGCAACACGACTACCGGATTTTGAAGAAAACTCAATACGACCCCATCACTCAGAACAGTTTCAGAAAACTGTTCCACTCCTTTTTCATCCTCATGACGACTAAGGAACAGGAAAGAAAAAGGGCAATTCTGCTCAACTTTTTCTCTGTTGCCCATGCTCAACTTCACCCTTCACATTCTATTTGGCATTTTATTTAGAGAGGGGTTGTGTGGCGCAATTACATTGTCACTGACGTTCCATGAAAGATCATGCAACGCGTATTCCATGCCGGACAACTCGTCCTGATCGAACCACAAGAACTACCAAACCATTAGGCATTCGTAAGTGCCTGTCGATGTAAGGTTGTCAAAGTTGGGCTTATGCGCTCCTGGTTCAAGATCACGAGTGCGGGTCTACGGAGCATTTGGGGCTCAATTCCGCATTTGGTGGGGCGCACATTGCACTCTTCAACGTACGCTAAGCAGCTCACTCACCTCGGAGCTCCCTACCCCCAGGAAACCATTTCCCTGCTGATCATATTTCTCGCTCATATTCCGCACGCCCTGAAGAGCACGCCATCCGCGCGCCTCTGAGCGGGTAGGAGAGAAGTAGCGAAACAGCAATGAAAACGGTTTGAGCGGGGGAATCGTTGACCGCTTCGGCACGAAACGCCGGTCCAGCAACGCGAACGCGCAAAGATCTTGGCGTGTAACGCTTCCGCTGACTCCACCCAACGCTGCGAACTAAGGGATGAGAGTGGGCGAAGCCAACCCGATCCGCCTGATTTCTTTATCGATAATGAAAGATGAATCGGTGGAATCGCGATGCTCAATCCTTTTCGCGGGTACATGAAATTTCACTGACACTCCCTCTAATCATATAACAACACACCCTCAATCGAGAATGGTCATGAACTTCTTTTCCACCGTTCTTTCGCAAACTTTTTCAAGGAAGTAGATAGAAATAGCATGCCTAAAACGAGATATGCCCCCAGATCAGGGACGCCCATCGTTGTGATCATTACAAGCGGGGGAGGGGGTCGGCGGCCATATTTGACCGCGAGGAAGGGGGGGGTGCGTATTTGGTCAGTTTTCAGTCGGACGCACTACTATTTGCGAGTCTTCTGAAATCAAAATGATAAGTTTAATTTCTGACGACCCCCCCCCCCGCTTCGGACGGCTCGGTTCGATGAGGAAGACAGAGGGCTGTGAGCGGTGAGTCTACCTAATGACGACCCCCTCCCCTTTTGGGAGTCTACCAACTCTCAAAAAGGGGTCGTATTTTAGTATGGAATTAAGTGGGGGGGTCGTAATTTTCAGAAAATGATCACAACGCGATGGCGTGCCCTTCCCCAGATACTAAGGAGCTAAAGGCTTTAAAGATTTTATGAACATGAGAGTTGGTTCATACGCAGCGGCACGCGTTATTGAGTTCTGCCCAGCATTGCTTGCGCGTTTTTGTATAACTTTCATCCGCCGCGTTTTGAGCGTTCTCAGGGTCCACCAGCTTCGAAAGTGATTTCAGCGACATTCGATGCCTACATTTTCTTAATAATCGAAAACGCTCAAAACGCTGGTGGACGCTTGAATAGTCGAGATGCTAAATCGATACTCTGAACTTTCCTTTTATACGCTTGAAAAACGCTGACCGACGCCAAAACAACTGTGCGGGCGCTGAACAGCCTGCCGCAAAGTTATGAACGCGTTCTCACTGATTGCTTTTTTTGATGAAGCGATTTTGATTGCTGTCCCGCATTCAATTTCTCTGACAGGTCAAACTTATGTCTGTGTTTCCGCCAACTTTTCTAGGGGGCGACGGGAGAAGTAAACTGAGGTCCGCGTTGTGCGACGGAACAGGAATGAAAAGTGCACTACTCCAAGGCAAAACGAAGAAGCTAAAGTGGAAAAAAACATAAGGGAATATTGCGAAACAGGGGAATCAAAAAAGAATAGATTGCGGAAACATCCACATGGAATTCGTGATGGTGCGTGGGAAGAGTAATGTAAACGAAATCGTTCCAGAATCTACAACATCACCACAAAGCATTGTTTCCGATCTGAAATGCAAAGATTCTAATCTCGCAAGACCCAAATACAGGGCATCGGGAAAGCGGTATGCCCAGCCAGTAAAGAAGTAATACTCTGTTTCGAAGGAAGAACTTCGGGGCGCAGTTCGACGACAAGGGGGGGGGGGGCATTTTGTACTTTCGCTGTTTCACTAGTTCCACTTCACAAGTCTCACTCTGTTGAAACCTGTCAACTCCGGTAAGATCATGAAATGAGTTCAATCATGAATTTACAACAGTTGGCAGGTACCCTTTACAAGAGTTGGCCAGTGGTCTCTGTGATAGCTCGACAAAATCCAAAATGCCTCCCCCTCGTCCCGAACTGCGGCGAATTCTGCTCCAGTTTTGACTGGCAGTGCCCTGTAGAGCTAACAACTGAAAAATTACACGGTTTTTGCGCCTTCGTTATACAAAGAGCATTTCCATGGAAAGCTTGAAAATGTAAAATGAAAGTGAATCACACGTTATGCCATAAAATGGGAAATGAGTCATTGCCAAAGCAAACATTTGCCAAAAAAATGTGAATAACGTCCAACGTCATTCGGAGAATAGAATTCATTCAAGCAGAATTACAAAACTCTGGTCATGAAAACTCCGCTGAACACAATTCCGAACTTGACGGCTTCCAGGAAACAATATTAGAATATATCACGGTCCGCTAATGACGGAATCCCTGAAAAAAATGGCAGGGGCCAAAGTCGTAATTGTGGGAGATTCTCATACCCAATACTGACATGCAGGGAGGTGTCAGTCAGTGGGAAGGAACAGGGCGTCCCATCGAGTCCAAAGTACATGCACGATAAACAAGAGCGCCCACAAACATCAACAATGTTTACTAAAGTACTTCTGCAGGGAAGCGCGTCACCTCGTCACCCTACTTAGTCTACAGCAAACTTTTTATCAAGAGTGATCAAAATTGCAGCGATCGCTTCTTCGTTCTATGAACAAAAAAGATAGCGCTCGGGAGCACGCACGGTGGTTAGCATAGACTTTGGTAGCGCGATGCGGTGATGAATCGCGCCATCGGCTTTTTTCACAAACGATAAGACCGAGACAATAAATAAAAGCACATGACAATAATTCACCACATTCATCTGATAGATTGCCAGCCGGAAGAAACCTGCATCCTTTGTACTGTGCTTGACCATTTAGATGAGCACAATAGATGCAAATGCCACTCCTTTACACAATTCCCGCGATCAAGTGTTACGGGTAGTAGGTGCTCACTCAGTCATGAACCAGTAGCCCATAAGTAACTCCCAGTAGAAAAAGAAGCAGAAAAACCTTGGAAACACTCTGAGCACAGGCCTTTTCCGACGTCTAACAAACTCCGACCGCTGGGTCGG